TTCCGGCGATACCTTTTTATGGAATTTCCGAGCGATTACTCTCCGCCGTCTGTAAAATTAACAAAAACGTGGAGTGATATGAGAGAGGGAGAGAGAGGACGAAATATATAAATAATAAATTTTTGTGGGGTTTTATAAAAATATTAATTAAAATTTGGGAGTTAGAAAAAGAAGTGGCGTAGCAAGCGTGAAAAAGCGAGTCAGAGAGATCGGATCCGTTGATTTCGGATGGAAGGAAAAAGGATGGACGGTTGAGATATAACTAACGTCGTCTTCAGTAGACGGAAGAGTATTATTATTTATAGGAAGAACAAAAAACGACACCGTTGTCGTTAGCGGCGTTACGTATGATAGACGGAATGATAAATATATACTATATTTTTTTGGTGAAATTAATGGAGTTCGTAAAATATAGTTGGCGATTAAATTAATTAGTGAAATTTAATAATGTCGAGAAAAAGTGTATTAACAAACGTATCGTTCTTTTTGGCGTAAATCAAGACTCAAGATCGACTCTTCCTAACATATATTCTTGTTTAACATCCCTTTTTTTTTCTTTTTTTAAATAGCTATTTTTGGTTAGCAAAAAAAAAAAAAATATCCTCCAAAAAGCGTCGTGTAAATTCACTTTTTTTATGTTTGGCTTGAACACATAATTCGTGGCTATAACTTAAAGAGCCTCTCTCTATCAAAAGTCTGAAACAATTTAAGTAAATTTAATAAATAGTTATAGCCGAAGTTCGTACACGCTACGAACCAACCCTAATGAAATCCTAAGAACTCATGTAATTATGCTTTTTACTATGAATCACGTGAAATTCAAGATCATTAAAACACATGTTTTTAGTAGAGTTGGAGATCAATCTTTACGACTTTACTAGATCTGCACATGCTTGGTTATTGCGAAAATGTTCGTATAGCGTTTTTTTTTTTAATTAAGATTTGTTTTTATGAACGCATCGAAACTCTTATTAGGTTATTTATTAACAAACAAAAAAAATATTACTCTTAGTC